ACCAGCTCCCCTGCCCCCTCCCCCCTTCCCATCCCCCTTCCCCCCTTCCCCTCCCCCTTCCTCCCTTCCCCTCCCCCTCTCCACCCCACCAGTCATGGGTGTCGGTGACAATGGAGGTCTTCAAGACTTGTCCGCCCACCTACAGGAACAGGGGGCCAACCATAGGTGATAGTATAAGACTCCAAGGCAGGAACAGGAAAGGTTCCGTGCAGAGGTGAATGGGGAGAAGCAGATCGCTACTTTGAACCTCTGTCCAAGTCTCACAGCTGTAGGAGAGCAGTATGACTCACTCGGCTACTGTCGGCCCCTGGTCTGGAGTACTGTCACTTGCTCGTAAGGATGTTACACCCAAAAGGGGTGAACAATGGAAAGACACAAAGTTACAGCAGGAAGAGAGAGGAACGGCGAGAGACTACAACGACTAGACAGGCACTTGCCAGGCATGGCATATAGCACTCAACCTCAGCCAGTGAGAGAAGCTAAATAGGACAACAACAGCTGCAACACGATAACACCCGGGAAGGGGAGCGGAGCATCTCAGAATGCACATCCACCGCCCTTTCCTTCCTGGAAGTAGTAATGAGGAGGGATCTCCTCTCTGTAAAACAGATGTGATTTGGTCCAGATATCTACATAACTGAGTGTATTACAAAACTACTTGGCTCATGATAATGAAATGTAAAGGGATGCTGGACCTGCTGGACCCGGTTTTCAGCAGGTGCAGCTCCCCACCAAGAACAGCTGCAACATAGTTTTCGGCTTTCAGGCTATTTCTGAAGGGTGGGGGTTGGTGGAATGGGAGGTTTGCTTGCCTACTGGGATTCAATCATAGGTGATAGCAAAGAGAAGGGGCTGCTGGCTGGGTGAATGGGGAGAAGTAGAACACAAGTTAGAATCTGTTGCCAATTCTCTTTTTTTTTCCTTTTTTTTTTGAAGAAAACATCGACAAGATGCGTATTACTGGAGGTGATAAGAGCACTCTGCAATAATAGGCATCCTCTTATAGATGGCTCCGATCTATTTGTGGGGAGCAGCACCTGCTGGAAAGCAGGTCCAGCATCTCTGAACATTGTAGTAGATTGTTTGAATAGACGTGTGTCTGTACTGACAGCAAGCTGGAGGGCCCACCTATAAAAAAGATAGGGGTAAGTACATTTATGTCACCTATCGAATGGGCAAAAAAAAGGCAACGAAAACCGCACCAAGTTTGAAAAGGCAACGGAAGTACCGACGGCCGTGGTGTCAGACTTGGTGTAATATTTACAGGGGTCGGCCGTCGTGTCAGAGGGGAAAAAAAAAAAAGAAAAGAAAATGCCCTACGGATACGTTTGGACCGAAATTGCTCATTTCGAGATGGCGTGTGGTTTCTTTGCCGGCCCGTGTTTTTTTTGCCTTTAGGGTTTCAAAACATGCCGTGTCCTCCGTTATTTCAAAAAGATATTTGACAGGTAGAGCTTTTTTTTTTTTTTTTTTTTTTTCCTTCTCAGCAGCCCAGGTTGATTGCCTACACGACAGCCTAAGGTAAGTGCTAGTATACGCATGATATCTCTATCTCTATACCTTATAAAAACTGCAACGGGCCCACCGTAACGGCAGACGCCGGGCCCAGCGGGAACTGCACGACGGGAACGAGGCGAGGAGGCAGCCCCGCGGCGCAGGCAAGCTCGAGGCAGTCCCATTCGGGCGGGGTGTCGCGGCGCGCGCCACTTTGGAGGCGGTCCCATTCGGGCGGGGTCTCGCGGCGCATGTCGTTTCGGCGTGTTCGGCCAGCGTCCCGCGGGCGGCCGCGTCGCGTGTTGTTTCGCCGTGCGCGCGGCATTGGTTTGACGCCGGCCGGCACACACACACACACACGAACGATTCATTCCGATTTTGCTATCCTATCGATGGAAGTAGCATGACGCGAGCCACGAGGTTGGAGATTTATCGGCTCTCTCTCTCTCTCTCTCTCTCTCTCTCT